AAGTTATATGAAACTGAATGACCATGGTGAAATAAAATCAAATTGGGTGGTCTAGTGATACTAAAAAAAAAGATGAGCCGCATCCTTGACGGCTCTCACCTACCATGTCCTGGCCTTTGAGAAGAAGGTAAATCACAGGTTATGCCTCAAATTGTACATGTTGGAAGGTTGTTTGTACACTTGCACTTACTCAATGGCCAAAACCATATTTCAGGATTCGAATCCTTGACGCGACAACCTCAAGCAAAACTGGAGTTTTTCTACATTCCCCTTTTACCACTTGGAGATGTGCTCTAGGGTCAAGTGGTCATGGTGAGACTAAGTATAAAGTTGGGTGGTTATGGTGAAACAAAATCAAATTGAATGATCATAATGACATCAAATATAAAGTTGGGTGGCCATTGGTGGATTTAACCCGATCTTCTATTAATATGAATGTATTGTAGTGGTTTTGGGGGTGTTGATTGCACCTTTTTTGGTGTAACTGGTTATTCTTTACCTCGTGTCCAAATTGATCATTGGACGGTGAAATTATATCAGTTGTACCTGAAGCTATTCCAATAATATGATCCGTCTTTGGTAGAATTATTGCACGGAAGTGCTAGTGTGGAAATAATTCACTCTCTGACTCATGTATATATTTCACACTTTTCATATTGCCTTTCTTACTACTGTATTTATGTTAGATGTAAATATAACTTATATATATTTACGTCAAAAAAGACAACTTAATAGCATTTGTGTTTTACTGCCTCTCGTGTTTAAACTTTGTGAAAATGAAAAATTAAAAAACTTTTACACACTTTGATTTGCTTGGATCGACCTACCACCGCATCCGAGTTCAAGCTTGTTATAATCAAGTTAATACGATCGAAAACACTGTTGACCAAGAAAGATGCATGGTATGCAAAACCCTAAATTCACTAATTATTATTATATTAGATTATTCACGTTTGCAACAATGTACAAACAACGAATTATGTAGAATTTTTTTTATTATGATTAAGGTAGTAAGAAATTTCATTGTGCACCAAAATCACAAGTGAAGATGAATGAATAAATTTTTATAGTTAGCAAAAAAATCATGTGATGTGTTTTCTTCTCGAGAATTACAAATATTCTGTCAAAAATATCTTGTTAAGTTCGTGACCTTGTGGATAATCAAACAATTGCAAGTTTTCATTTCCAATATATTGGTTTGAATTTTCATGATTTTCCCAGTAAAGCAATTAAACAATAAATTCATATAATTATATGTAAATTTGTGGCTATTGCCATGTTTCAATTACAAAAAAATTAGAGAAATTTAAGGTGTAGCAAGTTACTGAGTTGATTTTTTGTCATAATACCCCGTATTTATAGTATATAAATTTGCCCATATTTGGTTGCCTTTAAACATAAAAAACTTTGTTTTGAAAAATGTTTAATTAAAAAGTATATGAAAATTTTGAATTTACGTGTATAACATTTTATTGTATAAATATGTGGTTAAAAATAAGTATAAGAAATAAATTAAACTAAATTAATTTATCTTTTATGCACATGTAGTGATTTGGTTTCTCAATCTCCATTTTCATGTAATAACAAAAAAATAAATTATAGTATGTTTAATGTGAATTATGGAGAAAGACGCTTTAATATTGGAATATTAGTAAACCAAAGGTATAAAAGGAATTATTTTTAATTAATTGAGGTTATAATTGATACATACATAATAGATGAGTTCAAAACTAAAAATAAAAAGCACCGTGATTTTGTTAACTATACCACATTTTAATTACACGGTTCCCAATTTTTGCTCCTTTTTTCACATATATTTCTAACTTTTTTCAATGCATTATTATCTTCAACCTTCAAAACAAATTTTGCCTATTATATCAATTTCTGTCCAAATATTACGCTAGAATGGGAAAAAAAAATCGTTCTTTTTTGTTCGTTGTTTTTCAAATAAGTTTTTTTCTCCTTTCCAGTTGTTTTTTAGCCTTCATTAGAGATAAGACGTGAAACATTAGACTGTTTTCTTTGTGTTTCAGTTTTGTGTTTTAAGTTTTAAATTCATTTTGGATTTTGTGTTTTGAGTGTCCATTTTGAAATTGTTGAAAATTCGTTCTTTTTGACATTTTGAAAAATTCTTTTGAACACACCCAAAATGCATTTTAAAAATTTTGACTTGATTATAATTGAACACACCTAAAACGACAAATTTGTAGTTTTGGATTTTCTTTGTAAATTTTTAATTTGTTTTTAAAAATGCGTTTTCGAAAATAGGAAAGAGAACGCGTTTTCGCTGTTTTTGAAAATCGAAATCAGAAAACGGCTTGAAAATAGTATAGAAAACCGGCCCTTTAACATTTCATCCAACTAAGTTCTGATCAACAGCCTTTTTCTTTACAACCTCAGCAACAACAAGAATTGCCCACCAAACTGTTCTTATAACTGAGTTGTCCCATTCTGTATATCTTAATGTTCTGTGCGGTGCAAAGAAAGGGACATCTCAAATATGTTCCATGGGACACACATAACAAATAATAACGTAACAGTTAGTAATAAAACGAAACTATGTGACTCGTTGTTGGACAGTCTTTACCAAGTAAAAATCCATTGAACCTATCAATCCAAACACAAGACGAAACAAATACGAACATAACATAGAAAGTTCAAAGAGCTAAGGTCCTATCCATTCTGCAGTCGAAGGGCTAAAAGCACCAAGTTCATTATTCTTTATAGTACAACACAACGTAAAAACCCAGATATACTAGCTGAACTTATATATAATAACTGGAATATTTAACCTCGACAGTCTCTTGAGCTCTACTGCTGGTAAGAAACGGATACTCGGACTCCAATGAGCTTGAGAAAGCGGAATCACAGAGTAGCAAAAAGTGACAGTCTCTAGCAAAATGTAACTAACATGTATCTTACATACTAGAGAAACTAGAATTCCCTTCTGCCCTGCATTAATATTTTCCTGCAAATTAACATTGAAGGACAATTTTAATCACGTCAACTGCAATAAAAAGAAGATAACGAACCTGATTCAATCAAAGATTCAGCATATATAGAATCAAAAAGACTAAAAGTGTGTGTTTGGATTTCAAGAAGAAATTGAATGGTAAATACCTAAGTACATGGTAAATTCACATGCCATGGCAACAAACTTTAATAGTAAAGAGATCCTGCCAACAAGGAAAAAAGACGTTAAAACAGGAGAAGTCTGGCGACCATAATCGAGCCATGCACAAGTCCAAAATCAAAGAAACGCACCCTGCCACCAGTTCCCTCTAGAAGCACTGCCTGAGTCATCTTCTTCCCCATCTTTACCGAACTGATAATAAATAAAAAAATATGTTAACACGAAAATGTATCCAGCCTTGCAATAAAAGAAAAGGGACAAGAAAATTGGAGCAGTTTATTTCCTACCTTATTTTCCTTTTTATAAGGACTATTGCAGCGAAATAATATTATGGCAAGAAAGTTGTAGTATTTGATTTTAGTAATGGGAAATCTCGGTGACAATATCATGTCAAAGAAGCTTGTAAAAGGCAATAATTCTGATTTTTACTATTTCTAGTGAGATTCATAGTCACTATGAATAACAAAATGAAGTTTGTCATGAATCGGCATTTACACGAGATATATCAATTTTAAGGTAACCACGTGATAAATTTGAAAGAAATTACTTGAAATTTCTCTTAATATACTAATATAGTGCTCATTTACATTCGGCATAAAGAGTACTCACAGTAGTTGGTCCTGGGTTCTGAGTATTCTGAGGACGAGAATAGACATCTTGACCACCATAGTATATCGACGAGCTGTAGTGAAATGGTTGTACTTTTTCCTCCTGATAACCCACACTTGGGTCTTTGCTTGGTATGCTCTGCCTCTGACCTTCACCACTCCGAGAGTTATTGCCTGGAAAACAAGCATGAAGTTAGTACAAATCGAAAATTATACTTCAAAAAAAGAAGGGGAAGAACGCACATACACAAGCCAAGTTACCAAATTTCAAAAACTACGTCAAATTCCTTATATGGGTGAAGCTTCTTGTACTGTTTTTCCAAATCTTCCATATCGGCTTAGTTAAGGGAAAAATTTTTGATTTTCAAAAACCGAAATGGATCATGGATGATTTTTGGTCATGTGAATAAGACGAGACAACAAAAAAACTTGTACTGTTTTTCCAAATCTTCCATATCGTCTTAGTTAAGGGAAAAATTTTTGATTTTCAATAACCGAAATTGATCATGGATGATTTTTGGTCATGTGATTAAGACGAGACAACAAAAAAGTAAAGACGGTGAAGTTTGCTTGCAGAATGTTCATCACAGAGTTGAAGTGGAGAGTTTGCCATGAATGTGTAATGACTGACTAGCCTAAGAAATCAGAGTTGTATATAGATTCAAGCAGATCTACAGCTTTTCAACCTCTATTAAGGATGGAATAGGTCAATCTTTACGATAATAAGCTCGTAAAATTTTTGAGTTCAACTCTAATTCAGTAATCCAATTCATCTAGTTCATAAATACTAAATGAAGTTCTAATACCTCTTAAACTGAGCCTAAATTTGAATAAAAATCGAATATAAACAGCCTAAATCTCATTTGGATGGCCTTCCTTATGCGTGACATATATACGAACCTATAACCCCAGTATTGGCACTCCAAACTGTATTTCCAGAGTCGTGCTTCTTCTCGGATTCCAGAGGACTCAAAGATGCTTGTCTGGAGACCTAAAACAGATTCACCTTGTAAGAATTAGACAAGATCCAATCTTTGTCTATAAAACCTAAGAGAAAATAAGTTTAAATTTTCACATAAGACAGCATAAGTACAATCCTTTTTCCTTAAAACAGACTAACACACACCAGTAAGCATGAAAAACAATCAAACACACATATAAGTTCTCAAAATAAGTGACTATAAATGTACATATTAATGTTAACTCATTGTTTCAATGAATCATTTCTTGGGACAGAAGAAGATTACCTAAACACTTACTAAAAATCTCACATACAAATTTAATTAATACACACAGCAGCCTTGGCAAGTCTTGATCGTTATTGTTACTTAACAAAGTTCGTGAATTCATTTGCACAAAAAAAATCTTAAAACCTCTAATAATCATCAAACTTAATATCATTTTTTCTGAAAAGAAACGTAAAAAATTCAGTAAATATTGTACAATGCAGAAAACCCATTATCTGAAATTAAAAAATCCCACAGAAAACCCACGGAATATAAATTATTATTCTGTATACCTGAGTAGAAGGTGCGAAAATTGAGTCGAAAATCCCAGAAGACGATGAAGCAGAAGAATCCTTATCCTTAGAACCAAAAAGATCAGAAGTGAATGAAGAACCTGTTTGTTTCCCTCCCTCCATTTTTTCTCTCAAGATTTTCTCTCTCTTGAATAATGAGATTTGAATCAAAGAGAGGGGCCTCTATTATATATTCAACGCCCACCGCCAAATAAACCGTAACCGCCAAGAATCTTTACACAGAAACCAAACAGAAAAAACCAGATGAGAAAGCGAAATAAAACGAGAAAAGGGTTGAGAAAAAGAAAAGAGAGACACGTGAATGATCAATGAATGATAAATAAACAAACAGCAACAAAGAGACGAAATTCTGGACTTTGAATGGCTATTCTCAACCCCTTCCTATACGTCATTCTCAATATATATTCATACACATAGATGTAGGTATCTTCTTGATTGACGATCTCATTCTCTACTTACCATATACATACACGATAATGATACCTATAAATGATTGTGAAAATTGCACGGTTCATCCGCAACACATTGCCCTCGGGAAATTAGATTTTTAGTTGATTTTGATAAAAATTTATGAAATTCATAAGTTAAAAGTTGTGAATTCTACAAAAATATACCGTCAAATTCTTTAATTTAAATTAAAATTAAAATTTTAATCTCTATCAAATAGGAACTAAATAATCAAGTAGCCCTTGCTTAAAATTATAATTTTTTAGCATTCTATATTTACTAGTAGGTGTCTTTTAATATCTTTTAAGAGCTTAGGGACTATCTGAGCAAAGTCAAATTAGGGTAGAGGTCCCTTATTTAACAGCCGACGAATTAGGTCAAGTTTTTAATTGGCCCTTGTTTGAGCCACATTCTCATTTTTTTACTCATTTTCAACCACACATTCTTTAATAAAATAATATTTTCCATCACATTAATAACTTTTTCTTCTTTTTCAACCACATATTCACCATCACATCACAGAAAAATACATTATTTCCTAAAAAAATGTGCATCAAACACACTCTTGATTAGAAAATAAAATAATTAAAAGATTTTTTCCAATTTAAATTCAAATAGGGATTTGCATCGATTTATTGGTCTCGTGTTTAGCAAAGCTTTTAAATGCTTAAAAGTTATAGTTATTATAGAATGTGTAAATAATAAGTGAATATTCGGTTGAAAGTTAGATTTACAAAATATATCAATAAAATGAATACTCAACACAATAGATTGAGGACCATCTACAGCAATTTTGCCAGTCGTTTTTGTGCGGTTTCAGTTACTCGACTTTATTTCCTCGGAGACACGTAGCTGTCGAAAATGTAACAGTTTTGTGCCACGTGGAAGAATCATTTCTGTTTGTGGTACCAAGATATCAACTTCCAACATTTAACTTCCACGAATACTTAGAGGATAATTACAAGAAGAGAAATGATGTGTGTGTGACTATACAAATGAGTTTTTCCATTACAACAATTATGCCAAGTGTACAATGTTGTTGACAATATGTCACGTAGTATGTTGTGTCATTGGACAGTTTAAAAAATAATTTATTTTTTCAACCAATATTTTTTTGAGCTTAAATGTATTGCTCGTGCCAAGAAGGCAAAATCTAGAGGTGTAAATGTAGGAAAAATTATGAAAATTATTTACTACTTAGGGCCCTTTTTCAAAGGATTTTTGCTTTTACTTCACGTATAGAAGAGTTTTCTAAGAAAACTACCTTAATTAGTGTTTGAAAGTTAATTTCTACAATAAATATTTTTTCTTTTTCATTTGAAAGAGCTTTTAGATGGCCAATTTCCTTTAAAACCTCTTGTAATTAGAATACGTAATTTATAAAATAACAAAGGGTCGGAATGTAGTTTTACAGTCTTAAAAATTCATCTTGACTTCCCAAAAACAATGTCGAATGATCCCTTACCACTACACGAAATTTCATAGGACAACGTGACAATCAGCATAACGACAAAATGAGGCTTAATAACCTTATTCAATCAAGTAGAGGATACATGTTGTATTTTATTTTTATGATCTTATCCAACTTTATGAAAAGTTGGATAAGATGAAAATCTCATTTAATTTGTGAACTTTTGGAACAACCCTTCGTATATGCAGTGGTCATATTATCTTGGATCTTATCGTTTATCTTGTAGGACCATATATGGTGGGTCCATCTTCGCTCTTTATCTTCCCATCACAATACTTACATGGTAATGGAAAATATACATCACATTATGTCCGGTCCACCGTCCATATGTATTATCGTGATAATGTATTTTATCGAGTTAAATAGTAAATTTATTCATTATTGAAATTGTAATCAGAAAAAGGTGAATTTCTTTATGAAATATCCTTTTATTTCACACAAAATAAGAAAATTTACTTAATATAATAAAAACAATAAATTTTACTTACGCTTTTACTAATACTAGGTGCAAGCAACGTGCAATGCACGTTTGCCTAGTTTATATTTAATAGTTTTGTTTAAGAATTGATTTGTTATTAATAAAGATGTAATTTTTTTGGTTAATTAAATAATTAATGATGTAATGTTTATGTAATTGATAAATAATTAGATGTGTGATTTTGATGTTGTGATGTAAGTTGGTGAGATTGAAGAAAATAAGCAAAAGTTGACAAATTTGGAGAAAGTGCTAAATTGTAAGGGATCCAAAGTTTGGGGACTAAAATATAAATACTTAAAAGTTGTGCCAAACCTCACGATAAAGATTTGAGAGTGCTCGGAGTCAATTGGATAAAAGAAGACGTCAATGGAATCAGATTTAGTCAAAAGATGATCACAAATCAATTTTCAACCGAAAAGTTATGCTCCGATGTTTTAGTCTCATATTGAGACCTATTTTTGACATAGAAAGTGATCGAGTTGGAGAATGATGTCTGAATCAAAATTGTACCAACACATTTTGAATCGCCTCAATCGGACATCACAATACAAAGTTATGATAAAAACACCGAAAGAAGGTACAGCTGCCCGTTTAAAACAAGAAATTCCGTTACATAATCCGTTAAAATAACAAATTCCGTTAGTTTTTCCATTAAAAACAAGAAATTCCGTTACATAGCCACTTTTAATATATAGAAGATACTTAGGTTAATATAAGATGACTCGTTACTCTATTAAAATTGAATAACGCTATCAAGGACCAATTGTTCTAAAGCACTAGTTTAGGGGATTACACTTAATATGTTCAATTAAATAAACTATACTCTCAATAAAGGAATAAGACTATAATCTGACATAGATGAATATGAAAAATAAATTTATCTTTATGACACATAATTATGAATGTTAGAAATTAACAAAAGTAGGCTTTTGAAATTTTTTTGCTTCAAAAGTTCGTCACAAAAGTGAATTCACTTTGTGGCAATGGACAAAGTGTTAGGTTTTAACCATTCCTAAAAGTATGAATAGTAGGTGAAATATTATTTTATGATAATTTTTAAAAGAGTAGTGTGATCACCGTTATTGAATACTAATTTAGGTAGTAATTACATAAAATATTAAATGAATAATGCTATCTAATATTATAACACAAGTTTAAGTTATCACACTAAATAAATTCAATTAAATGAATCATGTGACATTGCATTTAAGTGAATTAATCATTTAATGTCATGCGATTGTCACGAAAACGGGTACTTGACACCAGTGGTGCTGAATGACATCACTCTTTATTTAATCTAAAGTCACGTGACTCGTTTAATTGAACATATAAGATCTAATCATCTAAACTGGTGTTAAATAGTATTATTCTTTTGAAAGTATAGAGATCTTATACGGTAAGAATACGTTAAATATAATTTCTCATAAGATCATGTACAACTTTTCTAACCGACATTTTAGTCACATTTGATAGACATTCTTTAAAATTTATTTTTCTCAAACTCATTTTCTTGAGATAAAATAATTATTTTATTAAAATTTTTCAATAAAATAATATTTTTCATCAAATCAATAACTTTTCCTTCATTTTTAACCACACATTCTCCATCAATCTACTATTTAATAATACATTCTTTCAAAAGAATGTGTCTCAAACACACTCTAATTCTCAATCCCACATTTTTCTAAAAATTATTACTTAAAACATCGTCAATCGGGGCTTAATACATTCGAGAGGGTCCATGACTCCATGGATGGAATGGAGACAACAAAGTGCAAAAGACAAGAGAGTAAAAGGGACCTACGTAGGCAGGTGTGTTTGTAGGTTAACTATTGTGAGTCGCCGCATGCGTCTATTTGTGTCCAATTCTAAGCCACGTGGTGTGCCACCACTACTGTCTTGTACAACCCTTTTTGTTTGTGGTACAACCACTACTAACCTTGATTTCATACTTATCCAATGTAAGACTTTTCTTTTTCTTATCTCCACGCAACCACGCAACCACGTCTAAAATATATGAATCATCAAATTTAAATTATATTAAAAATATAAGTATAGTTGATAATTTATTTAATTGATAATTAAATTATTCTAAAAAGAAATCCTTCTCTTGTACAATTGTGGGCATCACTGTAATTTAAAAATAATTCTACTATACAGATCTCAACGATTATAGATAGAATTATCATACATCGTTAGTTGAGCGTGCACACTCTTTTAATGCAACACAAGACAAGTACGATGAAAGGAAAGATCAACCATTTTTCATATTTTAAAGTAATTGGGATTTGGGGCAAAGAAAATAAGAAAAATATATATGATTTGATTATTGATTCCACATTTGGTGTGATGCTTACTCGTTACAAGCCTTGACTCTCCCGATTCTAGAAAGAATACAATTTTACCCCTTTTCTTTTTAAAGGGAAGAGCTTATAAAAAAAATTATTATGACCTTTTCCGAACACTCAAGAAAAAGAGGGAAGAAAAACAGCAATCTTTATTGCATTTGCAATATATATTGACACATTTCGAAATCTCAAAAACAAATTTCTTGTTATGAAAAGAGAGAAAAATAGAAGAGAGAATAAAAATTAATAGATTTGTGTGTATTATAATGAGAACTAAAATCTTATATTTATGAAAAAGGAATATGGATACATATGATAATAATTTCTAGAGTAATGTTATTAATCTCCATTGGGGATG